GGTGTAAGGGCTTAGGGCTTAGGGCTTAGGGTTTAGGGCTTAGGGCTTAGGGCTTAGGGTTTAGGGGTTAGGGCTTAGGGTGTAAGGGCTTAGGGCTTAGGGTGTAAGGGCTTAGGGTTTAGGGCTTAAGGGCTTAGGTTTAGGGCTTAGGGTTTAGGGCTTAGGGCTTAGGGTGTAAGGGCTTACGGTTTAGGGGTTTAGGGTTTAGGGTGTAAGGGCTTAGGGGTTAGGGCTTGGGGTTTAGGGCTTAGGGCTTATGGCCTTAAATTTTAGGGCTTATGGCCTTAGGGTTGAAAGGGGATATATTAGCTCAAGAATGGAAAATCAAATGGAAAAGAAAATGGCGTTTCCCAAAATTAGGGGCCCCTGTAAAGCAGATGTAAGAGGCTATGGGGGATATATGGGATTTAGGGATTAGGGTTTCCAAAATTAGGGTACCTCTCGGGTAATAAATGCCAGGTATGACCGCGTTGTAACTGGTCTGAATCTCCAAGTAGGAATGTCCTGAAAGCGATTAAAGGAAACGCCTATGCAGGCACTACAAAAGGGTTCAGGGTTGAGGGTTACATTGGGGTTATATCCTGAAAGTAATTAAGATAGACGCCTAAGTAGGGATGAACAAGGCTTTTGCGTCATGTAGGGGTATAAAGAGAACAATATTGGATTTGGGGAAGCAATGGAGATTTAGATGGAGGAGAAAATTCAGCATGAATTGGGAGCTGTGATTTGTATAAGGGTTGTGTAAAGATACTTGCCAGTATAGTGGTCCTGGATTTCTGGTAAAACTATGGTATAGGCAACCTCAGCACGATCTGGGTTATGATTCAGGCCTATATAGAAGTTTTTCTCTTTAGACAGCCCCCGATAAACAGCTGAGATGATTTGTTGGGAAGGTCCCAGGGCACATCGAGCTAAGGTGGGTCCGCATGGTTCACGGATATAGAAAGTTGCGCTTACCAAGATCTGTAAGATCCCCGGTGTTCCGAAAATGGAACTTTCTAAAAGGTGTTTGTCGTATTTGGACCCCTTAGGAATCTACTCTGCCAAGTCATGCTTCATATCGGCTGCAATTGCTGGTGGTTAGGAAGGAATACAGGCATGGATCCTATAGTAGTCTCTGTATAATCCTCTACAATACTCCCGATACCCATCCTCCATACCCTTTGCCATGCTAGTGAAGAGTAAGGAGGGAGGTGTGTGATGCTGGTGCCGGCGGTGGTAGTGGTTGTGGTGGTGGTGGCAGTGGTAGTTGACGTTGCTGCTTTTGCTGCTCCTCAGCAAGTCAAACTGTGCGCAGCGACGGGGTCTCTGCTGTTCAGGAGGATTGCGTGCTTTGGCAGCTCGACCGCGACACCTTCAACCACATTGTCCCTCAGCGTGCTTGAGCACTTTTTGGCTTAGGGCTTATGTGCTGACATGGTAAGGGCAAAGCCCAGCTTGATGGCTTTCTAGCCAACGGACTAGTTTCCAGTCAGCGCGTTCATCCAAGCTATTTGAACAGCATCGTACAAAGTTCCAAGCCCCAGCCCAAACCCTCAACAGGTGTCAGGACTTGGGGATAGTTTTGGGGTGCATGTCCTTACTCACACCTGTTCACCCCTGAGAACTGTGCCCTGTCAGATGCTCCACATCGATATCTTCCGTCTGTCAGCATCATTGGCATCCTCTTAGAGTTTAAGGTTGCATGTTCCTCATCTCATGAACCTGCCATGCTTATTATTATCATCGCAGCCATCTTTTGGCCTTGCCCCATCACCACCGAAAGTGAGGGGGCAAACGAACTTATTGCTTCTGGTAATTGGTAGTTTCCCAAAATGAGGGGACCCCAATATGGACCCCGAAACACTATAGTCCTTATTATTGGGACCCCCCAAAACGTACCCCTAATTTTCGGAAACCCCCGATTCACATAAGTGTTTGTGCAAGTATGGCTACGGCTATATTAAATCCTAAACCCTAAGTAGTATTTTCCATTTTATTTCCATTATCCCTATATATACTATAACATCTTGTAATATTGGTTTAAAGCTAGGGCCACTCTTCTGCGCGCTCATCGTGATGCTGCCCACCACTACCCTAGCGGTCGTAGAAATAGAAGTGCTGCTAGAAATAAATATTTTTCCCCTTGAGTAGATAGAATATGGGGTACATGGGCTTCTTATTGTAATATACCCAAAGCCATATTCTATCTACTTAATCGGGACTGTAACAATCCTTTTTATTGCTTGTGCTATTACAAGTATTACTGCTACCAGCACTGCTACTGCTATTACTTAGGGGGTAGTGGGGCTTAGCAAGCATACGTACTACCCTTAGAAGCCATACTAGTAGCCCGGTGTGTATCCCCAGTATTGACCCACTTACGAAGTCCTCTGACCCCGCATGTATGGTTGGGGAATCGTTTCAAGATAGGGTCTCAGCATCCCTGGGCGGGGCCAAACATTGTACCCTCAACCGCAGAACGAGAAAGGTGATTTTTGTAATCCCAATCCCACAGATTTGGAAGCATCATTGTATGTTTACAGGGTCCTAACCTAGATCCTCTTTTTAAGACTATTAGAGTCTGAACATTGGACCCAACCCCCAAAAAACTCAAACCCAAAAGCTGTTTGCTGGCAAGTGCACTGGTTTGGGTGTGCCCTTAATCGTGTAGAACCTGTAGAACCGCATATAACCGCTGTAGAACCCCTACATGATCCGATACATATATATATATATCCCAATGAACCCATGGTCTCATGTTCCGTTTGATTCTCCATTATTGGGATAATAACGGCCTATACCCTAAACCCTAATTGCAGTTTCCATTTTCTTTTCCATTACCATGTAATTGCAATACAGCCCTATATACCCCCTACAGAACTGATTGAGCCAAGCACCTCAGGTGAAGGAGGCAGCTGAAAAGAAGCGCCAGCGCTACGACGCCTTCCTCAGCAAGGTGGCAGAGCATTTTTTGGTTTTAACGGAGCTTAGTGGCTGAGCTGGGTGTAGGGATGTAGGTTCTACAGGTTTTAGGCGTGGAGGTTTCAGGGTTTAGAGTAAAGGGGTTTAGGTTGAGGGTTGGGGTGCAGAGTTCGGGATTTGGGGTCTAAAGTCTAAGATTTGAAAAGCCAGCTAATGAAGCACCCGAGGCCACAGCTTGTAGATAACATAGATAGATTGTAGAGTAATGCTTCGGCTATAAGCCATGTTGAATTGGAAAGGCCCTGATCTCGAAGGGGCCTGCGGCCTGGCTTTCCAGTTGTTCGGGTGAGAAGGTAAAGCCACGAGATCCCTAACCCCCCAAATCGTTTTCTTGGGGTTCAGTGCCTAGGGACTGAAGTCCTCATACCCCAACAGGTCTTAGGATTCAGGGTTGAGGCATTACAACCTCTGCATAGCCCAGTAAGGGGGTATAGGGATTATCTAATATAGTAGGGGTATATGAGGCTTAGGGTTTCCCAACACCAGCTGCTTTTTGGGGGGGCCCATAATAAGGATTACAGTCTCTGGGTGTTCTTTTTAAGCCGTATTCCGCAGATATCTCTAGGTTTCCAGATATAACCCCTAGAAACCCTTTAGGCGAACCCATGAAATGCCATAACGCTAGGTGCCGCTGCTCTCATCCATGGATGCTTATGAGCGCTCCCAGCTTTCTGATGCCCTGAAGGCTAGGACTTGAGAGTTTTTGCTTGGGGGGGGGAGGGGGCTAGGAAGCTAGTCTGCATGTGAGCCATAATCTAACTCCCTTTAGGATTATATAAGGGATCATGTAGGGGTCTAATACAGGGATTATTCAGGGGGATACTAGGAGCCTAGACTATGACTCATGTCAGTTTTGCTTTCCAGTCCAGATGGCGCAGAAGCGTTCACACCTAGTTACCATGCTTTCACTTCACTCTTTGTGTTTGATATTTGGGGGTTGCTTCCCAAAATTAGGGGTACGATTTGGGGAGTCCAAATAATCAGGCTTATGATTTTTTGGGCTCTACATCAGGGTCCCCCGACTTGGGAAATTACCATGTCTGCTGCGCCTCAGAAAATCTGACATCATAGTGCCACTGTCAGCATCTTGAGTCTCTTCATGAATCTGGGGTTTAGGGTTTAGGTCTCTTGGTTGAATACAATGGCATGACTTTCGGACTTGCTGGAATCATGGAGAAGCATGGTGGGATAGTGACAGCACTGTGTTTGTTTTTGGCCACCTCAATGGACCCAAGAGTGGTATCAGCAACACTTGTATATGGGGATTGGTCTAAATTCCCTATAATACGGGGTCCTAAATTTGGGTTCCCATTATAATACGGGGCCCTATATAAATTTCCCCCATTTTGGGAACAGTAATTTCGGGAAACTACCATTTGGGTCTTTCCAAAGAACGGTGCCCCATCATATACGCTTGATCATTGTTGTCTTTCTTATGGGAAGCCCTTACAACTGACACCGTTGCAATCGTGCCGAGACTCGGCATACTATAGAGACGTATTCGGAACCTGACGCGGGAATCACACAACGGCAGGAAACCCTATGACCTTAGTATAGCAAGAGTTCTGGGAACCCTCAATAATGTGGTACTCTGTTATGCTACCCTTTATAATGTCAAGACTTTCTGGTTATGCAGGGTCAGCCAGTTGCTTGGGGGGTACCCTCTTTACTTCAAAGCTGTGGGCCAAGGTACCAACCTGAGGATTTTGAAGCTTCAGGACTAAGTTTCTTCAATTCTCCTAGCTCATACGCCTACAAAATCGTTTGGGGGGTGGGGGGGGGGGGTCTGGCTACAGAGAGTCATCTCTAGTTTTTGTTGTGGTGCCCTATATGTTCGAGAGATCGCGGCATGACCAGCTTTCCATACTTCAGGGAAGTAGTTTCAGCAAATCCCCATGTCCAAGGTGGAGACATTTGAGCAGGGCCAGAAGGTTATTGAGGAGGGTGCAGCTGGCGACAAGTTCTACATTATCGAGGTGCCTGGGCCTGCAGCTGCAGTGTTCGTTGTCGCAGTGCTGGTATGTAGCCGTTGCAGTGGCGGAAGCAGTAGCCAGAGCAGAAGGCATCGGTAGAGGAAGAAGCACTATTTCCGGCCGCGATGGTTATGACTACTTCTGCTACGAGCTATATAGGTTGTCGCCTGTCGTGCAGCTTGTTTCTGTTGGGTCTCCCAACATCTATCCTTGTTAGCAGGACATGGGAACTGGTCCCTTTACAAAGCAAGACCGTGAGACGGGGTTCCCTGTCAACAGTCAGGCGTAATTGCGTTGCACATCTCAGGAAGGGCTCTGCGTCGCGACCAAGGGTGACACAGAGGTTATGAGCTATGCGGCCGGGGATTACTTTGGCGAGCTGGTAGCTTGCCTCAGGATGCTCTGGAGGACTACCAACATTGGGTTTTAGGGTTTAGGGTTTAGGGTTTTAGGGTTTTAGGGTTTTAGGGTTTAGGGTTTAGGGTTTAAGGTATATAGGGATAATGGAAAA